ACAAGTTGGTTCTTATAAACCTATACATGTAGCCTCCTCTACTCCATTGGTCTTCATTCAGAACTTTTCATTGGTTCTCCCTAAAGTACTATTTGTACTATCTTTGCAACTCTTCTGTAAGTCTGAAATTATTATTATTTAAAGTCTACTAGTGATGGCCCTTAAGACACCCTTCCAGCCTAGAACTGAAATCACCCCTGTGGCTTAACTTTCAGCCAAATGATAAGTCTATAAAATGAACAATAATCCAGGAAGGTATGCACTCATTAGAGCAATCAACCATAGGAGATCAGAAGGGCAGCATTTGTCCGGGGATAAAGCTCAGAAGGCAGGAAGGGATAGGAAGGAAGGATGAAGGGAAATGGTAAGTACAGGGGGAGTGGGAAGACAGCTGCTACATTGTGATGATTGCAATGAATGTCACAAAACAAAATGTGTATTAATTGTTGAATGGAAAAGCAATTTGTTCTGCAAACTTTCACCTAAATCACACACACACACACACACACACAAGCCTACCAGAAGAGTTCACCAAAATAGATGTAGACTTAGTTGGCAAACCTCTTTCTCAGCAAAATGTGTGTGCCCAGTAAACTGTTATCCTCTGAGAAAGAAATAAGGAAATAATGTATGAGATTAATTGCCAATAAATCATCCAAAGCCATGAAAATCTATAGAAGGAAAGCTGGAGAGTTTATCAAGAATATCTGAATTCTTATTTTAGTGACTGAATGGAACCACAGGAAGGTAGGAAAGGATTGTGAGTATCATCAAGACAGTGGAATCTGATCGATTGCATTTGAACCAGTTGTCAAGAAAGAAACTTGTATATAAACAGAAGAGGAATGCTCAGCATGTACACTGGAAAAGGCCAAAGAGAGGTTATTACATCTTTTTCAGGGGAATCTTGATCCCGAATCATTAATGTTCTAGGATTGTCCCTTTTTTGTGTGTGATTTGGGTGAAAGTTTACAGAGCAAATTCGTATTCCATACAGCAGCTTCCTACACATTTTGTTTCATGACATTGACTGGAATTCCCCACCATGTAACGGCTCTTTTCCCACTTCCTCCTTGTAGTTACCTCTTCCCTGTGTCCTTCCTTCCCATGTAATCCCTCCACCCCTGGATTGTTTTGAAGGGACAGATAGGCCTCTTCTTACACTAAAGAAAACTGCACCATGCTTTTAGAGCTATATGTGCTAGTAATAAAGCAAGTGCAGCTAATTTTCTTCCTTGATTCCAGGACTCTCTGACTGGAGTTTTTCTATCCACTTATATTTTCTTTTTTGGGAGCTCTGGTAGCATAGTGGCTAAGGTATTTGACTGCTAACCAGAAGAAGGCTGGTGGTTCAAACTCACCAGCCACTCCTTGGAAGGAAGATGGGGCAATCTACTTCCATAGTGATACTGCCTCGGAAACCCAAGCACATAACAATAGCAACAACAACAACATAGGATCACTGGGAACTCTGGTAGCATAGTGCCTAAGGCATTTGACTGCTAACCAGAAGGCTGGT